GCAGTGGGTGGATGGGGGTGGCGGAGATTGTGGAGACCGAAGAGGAGGATCATATGTTTCATTTGAATGATTTGGAGGGTCAGAAAGCTAAGGATTTGATCCGACAGTTGGCGGTTTTCTTCAACAGAGACATGCCCCCTCCTCTGCTCATTTGAGTTTTTGACTGTGTTCTTCTGTTTACAAGGCTAATTGTTTAAGTTACGGGACCAGATTTGTAATTTTGGTTCAATAATATGCAGAGTTCAGAGACCTAATATGTTGATTTTGGTCCTTAACAACAAGTATCAGGAGAAGATGAAACTACGATATAATCATATAAACCCAATTATATCAGCATCAATCATGTCCTAATTTTTGGAAAAAATAACATGGTACACGCGACATCTTAGAATATAAAGGTGCATATATTACCATTTTCCTTGTTTCTATCAACTGAAGAATGTTACAACAATAGAAACCAACAGACATTGAAGAACCTGACATCCCGATTGGGTAATAATGAACGTGTAGCTAATAATTGGATTAAGTTTAAATGGAGAACCTTTTTAGTTGGGAGGAAATGACAGTGAGACATTGAAATTGCAGCTTCAAAACACTACCGTGTCTAGCATTGTTCCTAATGTTTGGATGATGTTCGACGACATCAAGTTGGAGACATGTTCTTCGAGGTGTTTCTTTGCATCTTGTCTGCCCACGTTCGCAATTGCGAGCTTCTCGGGGGTCAGCTCGTCTTCCTCCTGCACTGCTTTGTTGTACTTGATAGCCAGATTCAGCATTTCCTGCTCGGCACAAATGAAATCATAAAATACATCAATTACCAGACTACTGGATCATTAACTTTCACGGTTCAAAAGAAGAATTCGCTTACTTGGACAGTCTGCTCGTTAGTTTTTGAATGGGTGTCGAATCGACGAAGTGTCAGACCATCAGTCCATTTCTTCTTGTGAAGGTTGAGCAACATCTTCTCCTCAAGCTCGTTCTTCCTGTAGTTTATCGCAATCGAGTAATAATGCCGGTTCAATCCATGGATTAATGCCTGGAAGTTATCATAGATGATGAATAAGATAAAATGGTAGATAGCTAGAGAAAAATTCAAAGATAATTTAATTGCTCGCCACCCACTTGAATGGATGGTTTATTAAGATGCCCGAGGTTGGACGTTGTTTGTCGTGGTTCTTGTCCAAGCATCATGGTCTGTGGGTTAATCAGACGGAAAGCATCAATCACCACCTTCCCCTTAACACTCTGGATTGGATCCACCACCACAGCCACAGCTCTCTGATTCAGAGCTTCAAAACTCTGCAAAGCAATGGATGTCGCAAATTTAGGTCTCTTTTTAGGAAAGAAAAACCACTCTGCAAATACTATCATGCAAAGTTGCAAACTCCAGTCAGCCAGATATCCTTTTACAGAAACCAGAACACGACTTCAGGGAATTCACAACTAATATATAGCCAGAGAGAGACAAAAATTAGTATAATCACTAATATTTCACAGATTGATATAATTTTTCAATCCACATATACATAGAAACAGGCTGCAATCAAGAATTTGACTTTCCTTGAAACACCATCAAAAGCTACGACATACGGCACATGCGAGAACAACTTCATTGAAGTTCCAAAGTTAGGATAAACGGATGATGCTCCAAATATCAGAACATATTTACAGAAAAGAGAGGAACTATTTCTTTCTTTTTTTTTTCTTTTTGATAAAGAACTATAATATTCAATTCAAGTAATATGAAAAGAAAATCTTCATTATGATTTATGTCACTGCTATCAATTGAAATATTTAAACCTACTAAAAACTCTAGTTGGTAGCTAGCCCAATCCTTCACAATTATAAATTAATATCATGGAACTGATTGACTTAATACAACATTTCAAAATCTCAGAAACCGGATTTCACATCAATCAGACTGCCAACAGTGTCCTTAACAACAATGAAGCATGAGCCATGTGACACTGATGACGCATATGAGATAGCCAATATTCCTTAGGTATAAAAGTTAAGGTTCTTAATTGCTACGTAAGGGATAAAGATAAAGCACAAACCTGTTGTGTATTAATATCAACACCAGATAGCCAACACCCAAAACCTGGATGAGAATGATACCAACCCACAACCATCTCCGGCCTGTGAACAAAGAAATCAGCTCAGTTGTCTAAATAACAAAGGACATTATGGATTGAAAAACAAATGCCAAGAAGCAACAAGGAAATCAAAAAGATTCACTTCCAAGGCATGGAAGGCCAGTCTCTAACTTGAGCAAGATCCAGGATTTACAGAGTCAGAATTAAATGTGCCTTCTTAGCAATGAAAAGAGAAACTATGTTATTATACAGAAGTGTCTTCGTTTCATTAGAATTCATTGAGAAAAAGACCAAGCCCCAAAAACAGAATGAAAACCCAAATCTGAGACCAAAGGGTTAGCAGAGAAAGAAAGTGAACTTTCTATATATCTTGAACTAGGTTATCGATTAAAAGTTTCCTCGATTAATAAGCCAGTCGTTATGCACAATATACAGGCAGAGGCAAGCTATCAAATGAGCTGAACTAACTGAAGTAAGAAAAGAACAAAAATGACAAAGAACAAACTGAGAGAAGAAATACCGTCCAGTCTGTTTAAGCATATCGAGCATGTTGGTCTGAAAGACATGATCAACGGCTTCAACACTAACACCAGTGCCACTTTGGGGCATCGCAAAGACGTCAACAACACGAACTGTGTACTCATCAACAAACTCTCCCAGCATCAAACCCATAACCTCCATGGGAACCCCAGCTCTACCTACAAATTGAACCGAAATGGGAAAATAAAACCCACAAAAAGAATGCAACAATTAAATCCCAGCTCTAAGCGACTATAATTTCATCAAGCACCACAATTAAATCAACTAAAACTATGAAAAATGATACATTATAGAACTCTAACCAGAGTCGATACTGAATAAAAAGGACCATCAGGTTTAGGGTTTACAACTCAAACGATTACTTGAGTCAATTGAAAAAGAAGAATCCATGGGATTAAAAAAACAAGGAAGGAAATGAAAGATTAAAAGTTTGAAAGTGAAGAATCAAGACGAACAGAGCATTTGTAGCATAACTTACCGTGCTTGAGCATCTTGAGGAGCGCGAGCGAAGAGATATAGACCTGCTCGGAAGAATCTAAGGTGGGGGAGTCTGGGGGAGGGTGTCCCAACGCACCGCCGGCACCGGCGAACATCCTCTGCAGCCGTTCCATCCCTGACATATCTTCTATCACTCGATCGTTATTCGTAATCTCTCACCGCCGATCAGTTTAAGTATCCGGAGTTTCTTTTGCCTCAAGACATGAACCTGGCACCATTGTTTCCTTTTTTTTTTCCTTTTTTTTCTTTTTTAATTAAATCAAACAGATGCATAGCACTTCTATTACTTTAATGAACGAATGATAATAGCTGATATTATTTTTATGGCAATAATACCTACGATCCTTTTTCTTCTTTGGTAAAATACATTTTTGTCTTGAATTTAGTTTTTATTTGGTAACCTCATTTTGAATCTACAGAATTTGAATTTAATTTCTATTTCACTAATTTAAAAGTGACAAGTTTGATTCATAAGTTGTGAATTTAATTTTTAATAAAGGATGTTAAGTTTAAATTTGGGTTTTAATTAGTACTTGAATCGAGTTCAGCAAATCAAATGGCGATTAAGTTAGGTATACTTCTTAAATGAGTCCGCAAATTTTTCTATTTTTGTCTAAATGACACCTTCTCTCCTTCCTCTTTGTCATAGAGGTTGTCGTTGTTGTTCGACACTCTGATTGTTGTCATTTGACATGCCCATTGCCGGCACCACCCTTTCTTATTGATTCTAAAATGAATGATGCACCTCCCTCGACTCGATTCCAACATGAAAAAATTCTTTCATTCCAGATTTGGAACCAACTAAGAAAGTTCATTCCATATTAATTAATGGAGAGAGAGAGCTTGGGATAGGAAGTTGGCAAGCAGTAGAAGCATAGGACGAAATTGGCGACAAGCCTCGGCTTTTTCTTTAATTTTAAAATTGTTAGGGTCATTTATTAAATAACTACGTCAGTTTTTAAGTTAATAGAAAACCTAATGCCAGCGATTAAATTGAAGTTCTTTATCTAAATGGGAGGTAAAAGCGTACTTTTGAGATACACATAAAAAGTTAGAACTGAAAATTGTAGGGCTTTAACCCAAAGGGAGCCCTTCCAGAAATTCTCGAAGGCCTGAGCCGAACCCAGGCCCAAGAGGGGGTTTGGAAATAGTTTTCAACCAGCAATTGACGCGCCTCGGTCAGAACCTCACTAGCTGCGTCATTGCCCCAAGCGCAAAGATGTCTGTAAATGACCACTCCGCTTCCCTTTTATAGCTCACCGTACACGTCCCACATCAATCCTTTTCGATGTGGGACTCCAAAAACGCCAAGCCCAATGGACTTGTGATAATAACCCACGAATACAAACTTTCACTACATAAAAATAAAATTAAAGTTTAAATAATAAAAAAAGGAAGTTAAAGTTAAAAATCTATTTGGAATGTTTATACAATTGCAATATTAGCTATTTCCACTCTGTATCGGAAGAGGAGGCAGTGTCAATACTCATAGAAGTATCTCAATAATGCATGCGACAATTCTGTAAATCATATGTTGATTAGCTTTAATACTAAGTTGAGAGATTAAATAAAATATTTGAAAGTTCATCGATATATCGAAACGAAATAAGTATAAAACTTTAGGAACCGAAATATAATTATATTTAAATCTAAAATTATGATTACAATATATAAAATCAATTTTATTTTGTCTCAAAATATATATACTATAATCAAACCTCCAAACATAAATGTGATTCATCCTCAATCAAATTATTATATAAAAGTGTTAGATATTTGGTGACTAACTCAACCCAAAAATATTTGAGTCTATTAGGACTAAATCTAATTCAAACAAACTTATAACCCGACTCTACTTATACTATTTCCATTGAGTTGATTGTTTATGAAGTTTTTTAAACACCCATTTGAATTTTGAACTTCTATCCCTTAACTTTTAAAACCAAATTAAACATAAAAAATAGGTAAAATAAAAGGTATATAGGAAAAATAATTGATAAACTTATTAAACAAACCCAAGAGAAACAACAATCTCATTAATTAGTTGAATGCCACACTCACAATATTTTTTAATCCCTATTCGGATACACTGAAAGAATGAAAATAATAAAACATAAAGATGGAGTGCTGTAATATATATAAGTGAATTTTTGCACCCAATTTATTTGCAATAAAATTAATAATTCTCATAACATAAAAATATTCAGTCTCCTTATTTGACGCCAGCAGCTGCACCGGCGGCCATTCCATGAGGCGACCTCGCATGCCGCAGCCACCTCTCTTGCGACAGCAATTTTGCGAACCTGCATTCAATTAAACTTGCATATTAGTAATTTTTCTTCTTTATTAATTTATTTTGATTACTTTTAAAATGTCGATTTTAATTTTTATATGGTTGATTTTGTTCATTTTAATCTCTATTCTTAAAAAATAACAATTTTCATCTCTATTCTCAAAATATTAACACAAATTTTATACCTTAGATACAAAATTTAACTTTATGGATGTGATTTTCTACCTTATAAGAGCTTGTCCATTTGTTTCAGCATTAGAAGCTTCAAAGACACCCGTCTCCAAATTCACTCTCGAAACTGGTTTCTTCAACAAGTTTTCGCCAACCTCGACAAGAGCATTCAAGTTGTTCTTTGTGGCAACGTCAACGGAGGATACGACGTCGCTCAATGTATCGTCCTGAATGCGAAGGTAGTTGTTTTCACAATGAAGGGCTTTGAAAACAACAGAGAGATGAAAATCCACAATATCAGAACTTGCATGAGAAAAGACGTCGATGATCGGAGTGGAACCGCCGGCGGTTAGCCACTGCAACAGGCCCCACTTGGCTGCCTTCTCGGCTGTGTATTTCATTTCATCTTTTGGAGAGCCAGTCCCAAGAGATATGACTAGAAATCTTGAGTAATCCGTTGGTTTTATGGCAAAGAAATCAGGGTTTCCTCTCACTGCCTCCTTTGTCACTTCACCCATAGCCAACAAAGTCTGCAATTTTTTTAAATTCTAGTATCAATTATTTGTTCCAATATCTTTAAACTTCTGTTAAAAAAAAACTTTTTTTTTTCCTCGTTCACTCTATTTTTATTGAAGCAACGATTTGATACTTTGAACTTTTATTTTGTAAAGTTGATTTGGTTCTTGAACTTTAGTCGGAAACGATTTAATTTCCTTACTTTTAAATTTGTAACAATTTAGTTTCCATAATTTAAAATTTGTAACAATTTAATCTATACCGTGAAAAATTTAATCTATTATTTGATCTAAGTAATTCAAACACTTTTTTTCTAAAATTAGCATGAGCTGAGAATTTGAACCCTATAATTTTTTAAAAATGTTATTAATATCTTAACCATGTACTTTGAAATATGATTATCTACATGGTACAAATGGACTTAAAAGAATCTAAAGTTAGGTTTTTGCTTTAACTTTAATAATTTGACCAATCAAATAAAATATTCAAAAATTTAGAGATGAAATCTAAGAATACATCAAAAAGTTTTAAGGCACTATGATAGAATTTAAGAGACAATAAATGCATGCATACGGGGTTATTTGCAGCAACGCCACCATCGATAAGATTAAATTCTCTAACATCACCCGTAGCGACGTCTTGAGTTTTAAAGTGGTGAGCGGGAAGATAAGTGGGTGCAGCCGAGGTCGAAATGCATATGTCCGAGACAGCAACATCCAAAGAAGGATTGTTCTTGAGCTGCAAAATGTATTGAAAAAAAGTTGCATTAATATAATACTCTTTACTCAGCTTTAAAAATAAAAAATTACAAAAACCAAACTTTTCAGAAACCTCGTAGCTGGAAAATATGGTCGGCTGAAGGAGCCTGATGTCGAAGGTGGGAATAACGATATTGGTCAATGTTTGGTGCAGTTTTGTGTCGCCAAGTTTTTCCTTGACGAGCTTGTGGAGATATTTTCCATTGTATTTTGGACCCGACAGCGCCTTGATGATCTTTGCTACCCACAAGGATCTGCTAAAAACACACATGAAGATTTGTTGGTTTTATTACAAGGAAAGATGGTGCCTTTTTTTTTTCTCTTAAAGGTTTTTAAAATATTTCAGACCTTTTTTGGGGGAAGATTTTAGGACAATGATTAAGATAGAATTCTTTGATGTCTTTTGCGGAAAACAAGGGACGGTTCTTTTCATTTGGTGCAGTTATCATGACAGTCACTAGTCCGCCAGTACTTGTCCCAGCAATGACATCGAAATAGTCGGCGATTCTCGCATCTTCACCGTCAAGTTTCTACATCAAACCACATGTGAAAACAACTAAAAAATCTTAGATATATTCATTTTAACACATCTCAATTGTGTGTACTTACTTTTGATATTAATGAATATTAAATTGTTAACTTGCCAACCTCGTCTTCAACGTAGTTTGATTTAATAGTTAAGTCATCTATATTTTATCTTAAAAGATGGGAGTTTGAATTCTCAGTAATTTATATATAGTTAATAAAGACATAATTTGAGAACTATTTGTGTTTTCAAAACTATTTTAGATTTTGGTTTGATTTTAAAAACATGTTGGAACCGTATATAATATAACAAAAACAAAGTTGGTAGTAAATAACTCATATTTTAAAAAGCCAACAGGAGTATGATGCAATGGTTAAAACATCTTTTTTCATTGCCTCGAAGTTGAATGTTCAATCTATTATCCTCACATTTATTGCATTCGAGGAAAAAAAAACTTACACCGTAAAAAAAGAAAAAAAAATTAAATTATAAAAAAATTACCCCAAAATTTTGTCATTTATTTAAAAAATAGTTGTATCCTTTCAAAAATTTCAATAACATCCCTAATCTTTCATAAGCATCTTAAAAATACCCATTGAGCAAACATCCAATCTTTGTTCTATATAATTATCACGTAATTTCAAATTTTGAGCGTCAACTACTTTCGGTTCAAATGACAAAATTTAAGAAGTATTCTTTTTTATAATTTAGCGAATAAAAAAACATCACTATTAAACAAACCGCTTAAAATATCTCATATTATAACACACAAAATACAAGTATAAGAAATTTTCTTTATCTCAAGTTGAAAGATAAGTAAATACTAAGGGAGTCCTTGAATTGTTCTCAAGCGTGCATGCATATACATACACACAACACATTTCAAAAGAAGAAAGTCCATGAACATATTATATGGTCATGATATGTTGGTACCTGAAGTTCTGACTCCAAGAAATTGAGGATGGTTCCCGGGATAAGTCCCCGAATTCCACCTCCATCAATACTCAACACCGTAATAAGGTTTCCGAAACTCGGAGGCTGTAACGGGACGTTCGTTGTGTCCATGAATCAATAGAGAAATATATCAAAAGGACTTGGGATAGAACAAGGCATGTAATTTGCAATTCTGTATGTGCAGAAGATTGAGAAGCAAATATCTACTAATTTGTAGGAGCATGATCATTTGTGTGGAGGTATTTATAGAATTCCACGAAATGTTTCAAACAATGAAAAAGTCAGAGGGTTTGAATGCGTTTGTAATGTTTGGAGTGGAAGCGATAAGCTTCCAACTCATCCACTTGCAGCCATATTCCTTGAGCAGCTGAGCTGACTTATATATTTTTCCTTAAATTCTTTTCTTTACACGCTCCGAACAATTTATTCGAAATTAATCATGCATCTTCCTAGTTACATGACATATGTGCATGAATTTATATTTAAATAAGTGCATTCATATATTTAGTTTTTTAAGATGAATTATTTATGTTTATGTATATATGTATTTATGGAATGAGATTTATTTTATGGATCTAGATCTTTTTTCGTCGAATTCTATAAATAGGATGATCTCTTGTTATATTTCAATTAAGCAAGTGTGTGGAGAAGAAAAACAAGAGAGTTTGTAAACCAAATACTCAATACCGTTGGTTTGAGTTGGTTTGAGTGCACGATCGACTCGACCTGATCGATCGTCTCAACCACGACTAGGTCCACTTGACCCGCGCCACTTCGACATCATTTCAAGTATAGTAATTTCATAAGTAATATATATCTTAAATATAACTATTAATATAGCTTATTAGTTCAAAATTCTAAATTTAATATTGGTTTTAATAGTTGGATCCGTTAAGGAAACAAATTCTAGCCTTTTGCATCAAGGAAAAAATTCCGAGTTTCTTGGCAAGTTGTGTTATTTGAGAGAGAAGTAAATGAATTTTTTTTTTCATTCATAAAAGAACAATATAGAACAGGGCCAAGTTGGTATTTAGAAAGTCAAATGTTTAAATTAATCTTTCAATTCAACCTTGTGGGTGTCTTGGATTTCTTATATTTTCGTTCCTCTTATGTTACCATTCTGTCCTTCCGACCTAGATTCAAGTTCAAAACTTGACCCAATCATTGTTAATATTACTAAAAACAAAGACCAAATTATACGTTAGACGATTGTTATATTATAGACTAAATATAATAATTTAATATATTATCCCATGTTGTGCGAAAGTTAAATATCTATATGAGGTATTCTGACAGAGAGACTTGCAAAAAAGAAAATTATATTCTTAATCGTTTAATTAGTTAGTAATTTTTTAGGTAATTATCTCAAAACGAGCTCTCAATCACCTGCGTACCTCAAGACGGGGTCCCCTATTTAATACCGTCGATAGTGGAGTCCACTTGGAGATTATCAGACATGTTGTGGGATGACAGTTGACAAAAAGTTATCACCTTAGAGTCGCTCACAAAACTTTGGTCATGTCCAAAGTTCTCTTGAGGTTTGAGAGGTATCTGACCGTGGTAAATTTTTCTGGGATACATTTATATTATTATTTTATATAAATATATATTATTATTATATTTATATATTCAAGAATAGTTTGTGTGTTTTGTAATATTTAAAAATTTAATTGCAACACTTCGTCATAAGGATATTTGATTGAATTGGAAGTTCAGTGTATTATAACAACCCTCATAATTTAGGACGATTTATGCAACTTTTTATAAATTAATTTTTTTTAATACAACTAAATGTGAGGATTCGAACTTACGACTTTTTGATTCTAAATATAGAGATGACGCCGGAACTAGTTGAATTATGTTTAGGTTGGTGTTAATAAAATTAATTTTAATTATCTAACATTTACTCAACGCATCCTTCTCAACCTCCATTAAAGTTTTATCATATAAATTTTTGTATTCTATTTTTCAAAAATCATAATTGTGAAAATTTGAACCTAAGTTGAATGGGTTGAGATATTCTGTCAATCAATAGTAAATTTCAATCTTCTCCCTTTATTTGAAAATTCCTGATTTAGTAATCTTTTTTATTAATTAAAAATGATTTTAGAATTTATTTGTCTTTGGTTTTCAAATATTCGGCAGCCACAATTTCCAGAGTGCCTTTAAAAAGTAGAAGAACCAAATAGAAAATTTGTTAGTAGACAAGTGTAATTTAAAAAAAAAAAAATAATTAATAACATATATATAAAGATTAATGTTGTTATACAGAAAATAACTCCCTTCATTTTATAATTCATGTCATTCATAATCATATATTAAAGAAAACAATAAGAAAATAATTTAAAAAATAATTATCCAAATGTATTATTTTCACGAAACTTCTATTGTAAAATATAGAATAAATTGTTTTGAAAACCATTTCTAATTAGAGTATTTTAAACTAATCAATTGCATCCATTCATTCCATGGGAGAGGGCACACATTGAAAGAATATCGAAAGCCAAATTCCATTTTGCAAATTTTGAAAGAGAAGAATGAAGAATGTGGAGAAGTAAAGCGGTTCGAGTTCACCAACCAAATTAAATTACAATTTATATGTGGTTCATCTTCATTTTATAGATAATAATCATTATGAAACGGTTCTTGAATTTAATCTATTTTTCAAAATTAAATTGAATACATAAAGTAGATCATTCACTTACAAAAAATCATAAAAATAATATATAACATTAATACGTCAATTAAAAGAATAATAATAATACAAAATCTAAATTGCCTTGGTAATATGAAACATTAGATAAAATTAAACAAAAAATGACACATAAAAATTAATTAAAATCAGACCAAATAATATTGTTCAAAATATGAGTGACTCGGAATATAATACAACATAGACATTTATTATCATTTCAAAAATCAATAGTATCTATTTATTAATTCTCCACCCCACAAAGATATTATTCCAACGTTGACGTAGCGGGATTCTTTTATTTTCTTGAATGAACAAATCTTATGAAACAAATAAAATTATCCTTAATAATTATGAAACCAACAAACAAATTTACAAATAATAATTATGAAAAATGGCAATTTAAATTCCATTGACGTGAGATTCACTTTGTAATTTCAAGCTTCCAGCTCGTCCATGAGGGGACCTGGCATCGCGGAGCCGCCTCTCTTCAGACAGCAACCTGGCGAATCTGCATAAAGAGATGAACCAAATCAATCGTTAATTATGAGTTAAATTTAAGCAAAAACTGAAGACTTAATTTTATTTACTAAATAAATAAATAAAAATGTGTTGAAGGGATTTAATTTGTGCCTTATAAGGGCTTGTTCATTGGTTTCAGAATTTGAATTAGAAGCCTCGAAGATTCCCGTCTCTAAATTAATCCTCGAAACTGGCTTCTTCAATAACCCTTCTCCCACCTTCACAAGATCATCTAGATTCTTCTTTGTAGCCACATCCACCGAAGATACCACTTCGCTCAACGTATCATCCTGCACATTTAAAAATTATATCCAATATTAATTGAAAATTGTTTTTCTTGAATTTAATATTACAAACCATGAAACTAATCCAAAATCCCGTCAGCAAGACTACTAATATTTGAACTTAAATTGGATGATGGGTGATGACAATTAGTAGCAACCGATATGTATCTTAGGTAAAATTTTTATTGGAGACTTTAATATATATATATATATATATATATATATATATATATATATAATATATCGTCTAAAATTTTAATTTTTTATTCTTCATATTAATACGATAAGGTAAGCAAATATTTATAGATCGAACAATATAAAATAAATTTATTTAAAAAATAAAAGAAATTAAAACTAAAATATCTAGAACTTTGAAGTTGCTAGATTAATTTAAGCAAAGAGATGAAAATTTAGAGAGGTATAAAAAGAATTAATTAAAATTAGTGGAACCTATACATTTATGTTTATATGGCATAAGTTTTTTAAGAGAATTGAAAATGTTTTAATTGTGGGAAAAAAATATGGAAGGGTCTCAGCCTAAGTTTGAGATAGTTTTTAGGGGTTATATGAATAATTGAGTTTTTAAGAAAATTTGAAAGGTTTTAGTTGGGAAGGAAAAGATAAAGTCAAAAGTTGGTAGAGGTAAGCTAATTAAAATTGAGAAGAATTTATGAGGCTTATTAATTATGGAGTTTCTGTTAATTACCTATATATATTATTACTTTCCTATTTTCAATATTATTAGCTAGCCAGATGACATATATTATTTGTTGTCTCACTTATAGCTTAAGTTGGTCCGGATCATAATTTAAAATTACATCTAAATAATGTGTTTTTAGAAAGTAAATTAGGTTGAGAATTAAAAACCTGAATACGAAGGTAGTTTTGTTGAGAGTTGAGGGCTTGGAAAACGACAGAGAGGTGGAGATCCACCATATCGGAGCTTGCTTGGGAGAAGACGTCAATGATGGGAGTGGAGCCGCCGCTGGTCAACCAGTCCAACATCCCCCACTCCGCCGCATGCTCCGACGTGTATTTCATTTCCGCCTTCGGAGCTCCGGTACCCAGCGATATGACCAGAAACCTTTTGTAGTCCATCGGTTTTATTGCGAAAAAGTCTGGATTTTCTCTTATCACCTCCTTCGTCACCTCTCCAATTGCCACCAACGTCTGTTTAATTTTATTTAACCAATAAATTTTAAACAACTCTTTTTTTTCTTTTTGTTCCTTTTTTTTTTATAAATTAGACGATTAACTAGAAACCCATAAAATAGCAAAGTGCAATAACTACAGAACTCGACGGATCTTTCTTATTCCTCACCGGATTGTTGGCAGCAACGCCGCCGTCGATCAGGTTAAACTCCCTGAATTTTCCGGCGGCGCCGCCGTCGGTTTTGAAGTAATGAGCCGGAAGATAAGTGGGAGCGGCTGAGGTAGATATGCAAATGTCCGACAAATAAGCATCCAACGATGGATTACTATTCACCTGAGAAATTAAACACAAATTTATCAAAATTAGATTTTGAAAAAAAATAATCATATGAATAAAATATAATTGCATTGAATTAAAGGAAAAGCAAATAATTAATTACGATATTACCTCGTAGCTGGAAAATATGGTGGGTTGAAGGAGCTTAATGTCAAACGTGGGAATCACCACATTAGTCAACGTTTGGTGCAATTTGGTGTCTCCAAGCTTTTCCTTCACAAGTTTGTGGAGATATTTACCGTCGTATTTTGGACCAGACAAAAATTTCAACATCTTTGCTATTGCCCATGTCCTAATACCATTGTAAAATATCAAAGGAACGCATCAGATAAGGTTAAATTATTTGTTTGGTGCCTATAGTTTTGGGTTAATTTTAAATTGGTATTTATAGTTTGATTAAATTTTACCGATTGTTTTTTACTCATAAAATTTTTTTTCTACTTTTACTCAACCATAAATTCTAATATAGTCCATCAACCTAATTTAGTGAAGTAGAAAACGGATAAAAAGTTCATTGTGACATGGGAAAAGATATATTCAATATGATAACGACTACTGTGTAGGGACAATTTGTGAGGTTTGACCAAACACATGAATCAAATTAATAATTTAAATAGAAAAGAAAAAGGTGTTTATTTCGGTTATTTTTAGAATTAAACCTGTTTTGGGGGAAGATTTTCGGGCAATGATCAAGGTAGAATTGTTTAATATCTCTGGCAGAAAACAATGGGCGATTCTTGTCATTTGGTGCAGATATCATGGCTGTCACTAGTCCTCCCGTGCTTGTCCCAGCGATGACATCAAAGTAATCTGCAATTCTTGCCTCTTCGCCATCTAATTTCTATACCATAAAAATATCTTATCTTATCGTTATTAGCATCACACCTATTTTCTTTGTTTTTATTTTCTTTTGAGTTTGCATCACAATATTGTACCATATACCATATATATTAACTCATTTCAAGCATAAAATAGACTCTATATATAGGTGCTTAAATCAATATGGTTGGGATTCAACGTTTTGGTTTTGATAATTCAATTTGTTATTTATGTTGTAAATACATAAAATTATTGAGGAACCAAATTATTAAATTCAATTATTCAATCCTTTAGATAGCAAGATTTGACCTAACTTTTTTTTTTCTTTAAACGTATATGTACCATGAGAATCACTAATGAATATAAAAATCTAGGCAACAATCGTACGTGGCATTAAATGATCCACGAGCTTTTTTTTAATCTCTCATCTCCGAGAACTTTTATTTTATTTTATTATTATTATTATTTTTTTTTTTGGTCAGGAGAAGAACTTCTTTAATTTAACTTCATATAATAATTTGCATGCATAAGAAGCAATTGTAAATTATATATTTACTCGAAAGAATTATAAATTATATATATAGCATATTCCCTATGTTTTAAAAAATGCTTAAATTATCTTTTCTAATTTATCTTTTGGCTTAATATATTACATGATATAATTTTGGAAATATTGTGAATCATATTCACCGAATCCCCTATATTTTCAAAAATGCTTAAAATACTTTTTTTTTTAATTTATTTAGTTGCGTACTCTTTTATCAGTTCATATCGTTTTTTTAACGATGCAATTTATGATATATAAACGCACACCACTAAGTAATTTATACTAAAAATTAACAATTCAGTTGGATAGAATGGTAAAAAGAAATTGAAAGATAAATCATAACTATAAATTTCACAAAACCACGATGGTATATGTTACATATATATCTTTAAATATGCATATGCAACATAGGATTACCTGAAGTTCAGACTCCAAAAAATCAAGTATAGTTCCTGGAATAATCCCTCGAATTCCTCCTCCATCAATACTCAAAACTGTAATAAGGTTCCCAAAAGTCGGGGGTTGGAAGCGCACAATTGTTTCGTCCATGACCGATGATTTGAAAGAGATGTGAAGGCGGGTATGAACGCAAAACTAATTTTTGGTCTCGAAAAGTATGTAAAGGAAGGAGGGAGAAGGCGTTTTAGAAAGAAAGAATTCAAAATCTTTTGAGAGAGCTGTCCAAGGGACAAAGCAAATATTTTGTAAACTATTTGAGTTTTGTGTGTGTTTTTTGATACTTCCGTGGGGCTAATTTATAGATCTTATTCACCCTCTTGAACCATTCTTTTGGCTTTGGGTTTGGAAAATGACATAGTTAGGACATTTAATAACTTGTTCCCTAAATCAAAGGGAAATTTGAAAACCACTTAGTCTTCAACACATGTTCCACTAAGCATTTTGTAGAAATGTCAAAGTAATTATATTCAACTCGTTTCGTGCTTTAGGTCATTTGCTTGAGAAAATTAAATGAAAGACGATCCTATTTTGACCATCTTTTCTTTTGTGGGGTGTATTTTTCCTTAGAATATAATATATTATAATATAATTTACGCGTTCGACCTAAATTTTTTAATACAATAAATATAAGGTATAATCTCATTAATATATGAATGAGTGAATTAAGGGATTAAGGAAAAAATTGGTATGAGGCCCACAATAATTAAAAATTATGTCTACAATTTAGGGATTTAAATCTTTTAGATTTCAACAAAAACAAAATTAACAATAATAGATATAAATTTAACAAATAAGGGTAAAATCAGTATTATAAAAAATCCTACCGCTAGAAATCTAAAAGTGTAAAATTGGAAAACTTTAGACATTTGTGAAAATAAATTTTTAAAACATCCCTCCCAACACATTAACTCTTATATATAGGCTTAGCTCTTGGGTTAAAAGGAGTTCATTGCAAAAATGGTTAAATAAAATTAACCATAGTAACTAACTAATAACTTAATTAACAAAATAAAATAAAATACCTAAGCTAGATTACAAAGCGTACGCTAACAACAATTTAAACACCTAATTACAAAACCTACATCAATTTCTCTTTAAAAGAAAAAAATAAATAAATAAATCATCCTCCAGCTTAAACACTAAACTCATTAGAGGAAAGTATGAAGAAATCCGAGACATATTTATTAAAGGTATTGAAGATATTATAGCCTTTAAGAAGATCCACATTTTAATTAGCATTAATACCAATACGTTTAGGGATCCTACAAAGTTTGGTTTCCTTCCTTTGTAACTTGTTGTACAAACGATCGTTTAGGTATGAAAAAGTCCTTTGATATCATCTTCAAAAGGAGTGTGGACCAAACTCCAAAATCATTAACTTCAGTTTTGAATATTATGTATTTTCTTAATGCCTCCAAGACTTTGAAGAAGTCCAAAAGGCCCAACTTTCCTCGAATTGTTGATTGTTAAATGATACTCATCTAGAAAGAGTTTGGAAATTATAGGGAAAACTTGCTAAAGCAAATAAAAAGCTAATTGGTTATTTAAAATTATCTATCAACTTTTATTGGATGTGGCTTGGAACTAGATAATAGAATGCTATTTCTACTAGAGTTTATAATAATTAGAGGTGTATTAACAATTTAGTCATTTAATGTCGGTTGGCAATTTGTAAACGATGACAGATGACACGATAATGTCAATTTTGAAAAATCTGCTTCTCTTTAACGTTAGTTCTTTAAAATTTTTAAAATTGGATATTTGATATCGGTTACGAATGTATATGATCAATTGAGAACTGACTCAATTTTATTGTAGTGATTAAACTCCAAACTATGAAATATATCATACTCATTTCGTGGAATTTTGACAAATTAGTATCAATTACTCCAATTTTAAGTTAATGATCGAGTTTTTTTTTCCCAAGTTGTACTTTGTCAAAATTCTACATCATTAGAATCTCTTGAGCAATTTATTTTATATTTTATCGGATTTTTGGTAAAGTAAATAAAATTGGATAAAAGTCATTTTTAATTCTTTCTTAGTTTTGGTAATATGATCGTAACTTATAATTAATTATTATAGAATTTAATTGTTTCATTTAATTTTGGAACTCAGGCATGCCTCTTTTCATTAGAAAAGATATAAAATAAAACAAAAATGATAGCAAGAAAATAGTTATATTTAAAACTTTAATGATTATTATCTATTTAGTCCTTACATTTTTAAAATTTTTAAATATTTGCGGAACTTTAATTGTAATCTTATTTACTGTAATATTCTTAACTAAATAATTAAGGATATTATGTATCTATTAATTGGACAATTATTTGGTGGATTTGACTAGAAAAAGATAGATAAATGATACGTGTGCACTATATTATATTTTTAAAGTAACATATTAAATTCATTTATAAAACAAACAGAATTTGACCGTAAGATTTTGGTCAATGTTGACTTAGTCTCCTCGAACCATCCAGGGCACTATCTTTTTGCTTTTCACTTCAAATTAAACTTGAATCTAAAAGGATAGGCTACAACGTAACCGTCCAAAAGAAATTATTTCTTTAATCTCTAAGCGAAACAAAAGCAAAATAAGGAAGTAAAATGGGGGTCGCAACCAAAAAACAATCTTTCATGTATTCTAAAATATGTCACTTGTTTTAAAAATTTTTAAATAAAACAAAATTTTTAACTTATATTAATAATATCAGATACTCATATAAGTAATATATCATACAAATTATCTTAAAATGTATATCATTTGAATAAAGTTGTCATTTTAAAATTACCGTTTTTTTCGAGTGCTATATTTGAAAAAACTAAATGTGATTGCTATTTTACTAATTTTACTAAATGTTTTTGTCATATTTGCAATATTACTGTCCCAATAAGTAACAAAATATTGAAACCAAATATAATGTAATTATTAAAATCGAAATAACAAGAAGGAATGTTAGGGGTGAAATTAGATTCATTTGAAGTGAGGTTAGCTAAAAGAAGTGATGCAAGTTAAGTCGATATCGGGTCGAACCACCCGACCCGACCCAATTCAACCAGGTCGAGCCAACACTACCTGATTAGATCAATTCGTCTAAGTCGAGGAGGTAGACCATATTGAGTCAGCCCCAACATATAACGTCCCACGATTCATTTATAACATCGAACTGAAAAGGACTCTTTCTATAAATAGGAGGAGAGGGATGTGCTAGGTGTTAATAATTCCACATTGAAAAGATGTGGGGACCTTAACAAGGTTTATAAGATATATAAACTACTCCTTTCATTGCCAATTTGTTTTAGAATTGAAATCTATGAATATTAAGATGGTATCAAAAAATTTTATAATTGTTATATTTAAAAATACATATTTTTATCTTATCATTTATGCAATTGCCTCTAGTATATATAGGTCAAAAACTTTTAATTTATGAAAATATGAACCTCTTCAATAATTCAAGGAATAGGACCGCTATTATTTTCTTGGTTTAAATATTATTTTGGTCCTGGTACTTTCTGCTTTTGTCCATGCAGTTACAAAATGTTTATTTATGTTCTTGTACTTTCAACCTTTGTTTATTTCAGTCATTGTACATTTAAAATTGGACAATTTTTATCCTTCATTTTCATTTTATCTTATTTTTTTCCATCACAATTTTACATGACAATTTAGTCACAAATTTTTTTAAAATATAGTCATAAATTTATATTAAATTTGTGTTAAAATTTTGTAAATAGAGAAGAAACTAAATGTACAAAGACTAAAATAAACATTTTAAAGTATCATAACTAAAATGAATAAAAGGTAGAAACATTAAAATAAACTTAAAAAAATATAATACCAAAATAGTATTAGATTTTATTTTAAGGTTAAATATTTAGAAGTGTCAACTCCAGTCATATGGAAAAGATTAAGTTTGTGCCGTATTGTATTTGAACTTTTTTATTTTTTATTTTTTTATTTTTTCGGACAGCTATGAGTTCGGAGTCCTAAAATGTAGGAAAGGCGGCTATTTAGGCGGATCTGACAGCCGCCGGCTCTAAAATGTTTTATTATTGTCATATTCGAACGTTCCGACAAAAAAGCCTCCACGAACAACCTTTTGAATTTTCTAAACATTCTAATCTTATCCGTTTTTTTAATCAATGTCATGACTTTAATTTTAGTGGAGCTCGATAAAAAATGCATTGAAAAAAAAAATCAAGTCTATACGAGATGAATACGAACATAGCTCAATTTAAGAAAATTTTGATATTTTTATCGCTAAGCTAGATTCAAGGAAATTTTTTTTAACTATATTATTTATTCTGTAATTGAAATCAATTTTAATAATATTTAAGAAAATATAGATTAAATTAGAGAAAGGTCAAGTGTAATTTAAGGTATAACGGAAAATTTTCAAAGATAAAATTAAGGGTGCATTTGGATGGTAATCAACATAAAATTCAGAATTGTATTTGTAAACTTTAAAATAGTTACAAACTAAATATTTAGTTTAATCTAAAGTTATATTAATTAATTTATTAACATTTTTTTGTGTATTTTGTATAATTATTATTTTACAATGTTATATAATTTAGAATACATTATATTTTACATGTTTTAATTTTAACAAACATAAAATGATTTTATAATATGAAGTAAATATTTATAAATTTTTTTTATCATTTTTAATCTAATTCTGCATCTTAAAAATTTCAAATTATGAATCTGAAAATCTAAAGAGATCATTTTCAGAATTTTGGATCACATAATTCAAAAATAGTTTTAAAAAATGAATCTCCCAAATCCTGCCTATATTCAATGAATTTGAAAACAAAAAGCAGAATTCAAATTTCCAACCAAACAGGCTCTAAATAAACACAATTCTTAAAATATAGTGGCAACATATATAATTTAACCATTTTATACGAACTTATTTTAGGTCAAATGTTCATCCCACTTTTGTTACTTGTTAACTTTTTTTTTTTTTGACATGTGGAGTGGATGTTCAAACCTCAAGCTCTAACATTCTAATTGATGATATTTGTCTTAATTAATTGTAGGGGTGTTCACGGGTTGGGTTGGGTTGGGTTGGGTTAGGGGTATTTTTGGGATCAACCCGAATTTTCAGGTTGGCCATATGGGGGAACCGACGGGTTAAAGATTGATGGTCAACCCAACCCAACCCAAAAATTTCGGGTTGGATCAGGTTGGATATCGGGTTGTCACGTTATAAAAAAAATATCAAAAAATTACAAGGCAGCTACTGTTTCAAAGGAAAAAAAATTACATGGTAGCTA